TTGGGGACCTATGGACCCATAAAGGGGTCCCGGGGGGGGGCGACGACGTCACAATGTAGAGGTGACTCGGGATGAGACGATTGGGAGATCCATCACAGCACACATCGGCCAATCTCTCTCCATAGAAGACAACAAGGAGACATTTTATATTTACACTCGCAGTCCCATTTTCTGGGAGGTGATCCCTTCTCCTGGGCCCAAGCAGGACTGAGACCTCTATCAGGGGTGGACAACCTGGGCACTCCAGCTGTTGTGGAACTACAAGTCCCATGAGGCATTGCATGACTCTGACAGGCATGAGGCACGATGGGATTTGTGGTTTTACCACAGCTGGAGTCCCGAGGGTGCCTACCCCTGACCTGTACAGACACTGACTCAATGTCCTCACTGCCAGAAGCCATCGCTGATCATTTCTGATGACGCACCGCACTCGTGTCATCATCGGAGATCACAGACTGCTACAAGTCACATGATCCCCCATGGAGAGGACGCCGATCATGGGAGGGATGCGTAAGGCGCCATTGCTGTGTGCGGTCCCCGGCTTTCCCTGGATTCAGGACTTCCTGAGTCACAGCGACTCAGCGTTGGTCATTAGAACTCTCTGGATACTTGTTTCAGGCCGGTGAACCGAAATGTAGTGAAGCCGGAGAATCGGAGTGATCACCAGGCTCAGGACAGTTCTGGAAGGAAACAAAGTATCAACGTTGTCATATCTCTGTGCGGATATATCGTGCAACTCCCCCACCATGACTGCACCTCTTCTATGGGGGGCGGGGGGAGTATTAGAATGTAGTTCGTTTTATGTCCTTTACATTGTTATACACGCAGGAGTTCAGTGCAGTGCAGTCCCCCCCACAGTCTCACACTATTATTATACATGTATATAGCTCTGACATATACCGCAGTGCTGTACAGAGGACAGTGACCCTTCAGTGTTGTTGTGCTCTCTGTGGTATTTATGTTTCGGTGGGTTTGTCTTTCCTGTATCTCCTCTCGCTGGTTACTTCTTCTTTTCCTTCTTATCGTATTCTGAACAATCTGCCGTTTACAGTACGAAGTCCTCCGCAGCTCCCGGCCTGCAGTGACTATCTCGCCCTTTGCTTTGTCGTCTATGAATTTCAGACCGGAAGCTCTCTCTCTCTTTCTATCTTGGCATAACGTTCTTTATTTGTGCCAGGGTTCCGATGTCTCCGGAAGGTTCCGCTCATTTCTACAAGTTGGAAGAGGACATTACATGCTCCGTGTGTCTCCAGGAGCTGACCGATCCGGTCTCCATCACCTGCGGTCATACCTTCTGTAGAGGCTGTATAACCCAATACTGGGACACCCCGGGGCTCTTCTGTCACCGCTGCCCTGAGTGCAGGAAAATATGCCCCAAGAACCAGCTCATACCCGTCTACAGGCTGCAGAACATGGTGACCAAGGTCCAGCTGGCAGTCAAGGAGGAGCAGGCCAGACAGGTGAGACAATGCAATATTCTTCTATATAGGATCTGGGTGTAGCAGAGAGGACAAGGTTCCTATCAGGATGGACTTGCTGCATTTTTATCCTTGCTTGACTGCTGAGTAGAGTATAAAGAAATGGATGGGGGAGTTTGGGGGGGAGGAACGTGACTGGCCGCACAGAGTCCTGACCTCAACCCCATAGAACACCTTTGGGATGAATTAGAGCGGAGACTGCGAGCCCCTCCCCCCAACATCAGTACCTGACCTCACAAATGCTCCAACATTCCCATAGAACACCTTTGGGATGAATTAGAGCGGAGACTGCATGCCCGGCCTTCTCCTCCAACATCAGTACCTGACCTCAGAAAGTGTTCCTGTGCACCTCTCCCGATGAAGTGGAATGTTTTGTGTCACACAACGTGTTGATGGTGTTATACTTCACCAATAACTTCTGACCTTGGGAATAGAACACTTCAAAGTCTTCTATCATTGTGTACCGGGATCTTAATACTCCGCAGTACAACACCATCTGGAATACCCCGATGAGCACCAAGCTTGGCCATCCATCATATCTCTATGGAGACGGACATATTGTCCACAAGCACTTAACAGGCTGACTGAACCCTGGATGGGTTTCTCCTAACCGCTCAGCACTAGGTGCAGTATATGTATCAACTTCCTACCAGTTCTTTTGAAAAACCTTCTGATAATAATGATGAAATCTCTCCGGTGACATATAATTCCGGCCCTTGCTGTTATGGGGTGACAGCCATCTCACCATGGAGCTCCTGCGCTGTCACCCTGTCGCATGCTTTCCAAGTGGAGACAACAAGTGACCATGATGACCGTTGTGCAGGCCTGGTCCACTGTGGTCACTGTCATAAAGAACAATGATGTGCAGCCAACTCTCTAGTGAGTACATGTAGACAGGAAGAGGTTGGAGGAGATCGGCAGCACTGAGATGGGATGTGGGGAGAAAGGTGACAACTGTATTTTATTTTTTTTAAAAGACGGGTGTTTATTATAAAGTGCACAGAGAAAACTAAGCGTCATCCAGTTGGGGTTTAGGCCTTCTTGAAGATTTAACACGTGGTGTGTCAGTTTGACTTCTGAGGGGATTGAGACTCCCCACCTAAGTAGTCTTGGTGCTCAAGTAAAAAAAGGAAGGGCCATATGAAGCGCCATATGACCAGTGACTTTTCTTTCTGATTAGATTCCACCTTCAGCCCTTCAGTTGGTGTTTTCGGATAGTGATGGGAGGCTGCAGCTGGATGAGTCTGTACTACAGAGATGTTTCTTGGACAGTGAGCTGTCAGAGTACCCCCTGAGCCTTATCTGTGTGATCGGGGAGAGGAGGAGAGGAAAGTCCACCCTACTGAATTATATACTGAGAGCCCTTCACTGCCTGGTGAGTAAATCCCTCCATATTCTATCCTAAGGGCCCTTCGCTGCCTGGTGAGTGAATCCCTCCATATCCTATCCTGAGGGCCCTTCACTGCCTGGTGAGTGAACCCCTCCATATCATATCCTGAGGGCCCTTCACTGCCTCTTGAGTAAACCCCTCCATATTATATCCTGAGGGCCCTTCACTGCCTGGTGAGTAAACCCCTCCATATCATATCCTGAGGGCCCTTCACTGCCTGGTGAGTAAACCCCTCCATATCATATCCTGAGGGCCCTTCGCTGCCTGGTGAGTAAACCCCTCCATATCATATCCTGAGAGCCCTTCACTGCCTGGCGAGTAAACCCCTCCATATCATAGCCTGAGGGCCCTTCACTGCCTGGTGAGTGAACCCCTCCATAGACTATCCTGAGAGCCCTTCGCTGCCTGGTTAGTGAACCCCTCCATAGACTATCCTGAGAGCCCTTTGCTGCCTGGTTAGTGAACCCCTCCATAGACTATCCTGAGAGCCCTTTGCTGCCTGGTGAGTGAACCCCTCCATATCATATCCTGAGGGCCCTTCGCTGCCTGGTGAGTGAACCCATTCATATCATATCCTGAGGGCCCTTCACTGCCTGGTGAGTGAACCCCTCCATATCATATCCTGAGGGCCCTTCACTGCCTGGTGAGTGAACCCCTCCATATCATCCCTCCATATCATAGCCTGAGGCCCTTCACTTCCTGGGGAGTAAACCCCTCCATATCATATCCTGAGGGCCCTTCACTCCCTGCTGAGTAAACCCCTCCATATCATAGCCTGAGAGCCCTTCACTGCCTGGTGAGTAAACCCCTCCATATCATAGCCTGAGGGCCCTTCACTCCCTGCTGAGTAAACCCCTCCATATCATATCCTGAGGGCCCTTCACTCCCTGCTGAGTAAACCCCTCCATATCATATCCTGAGGGCCCTTCACTGCCTGGTGAGTAAACCCCTCCATATCATATCCTGAGGGCCCTTCACTGCCTGGTGAGTACACCCCTCCACATCCTATCATGGGTGTAACACTTCCAGGTCTTGTCCCTTCCCCAGAGAATGTTTAACTTTCTAGTTTTCCACTTTCCAGGTCCAGAGCTTTATATCTTCCAGGAGTTCAGTTTTCACCTTTTGCATGAAGCTGGTTTATAAAACCTACTTTTTATGTTGAACTGGTGATTTTTCTTTTGTAGGAGATATGCCAGCCGGCCAGTCTGGGGCAGGAGGATGAGCCCCTCACAGGATTCGAATGGAAAAGTGGTGCTGATGGCGTAACAAAGGGAATCTGGATCTGGAGCAAACCATTCATCCTGGAGAAGGACGGGGAGAAGGTTTGATGGAAGCTTTTTGCTATTAACATATAAGCTGATATCTTATTTGATACAGAGATGTACAGATTAATAGGGAATAAGCCTTCTTCTGCCACATTCCCTTCTAAAGAGGATCCTTCAATGTTTCAGGTGCAACACATTGACTACTAGAGCTGAGCAACTAGATCACAACAAATGTGGATCCAAACTACAGAAATGGATCATCTCGGGTGCACCGTCAATCCATCTGTGGCTGTGATCTATCAGTATCTGTATTGCTTGCCTGCA